TGCCCCTGGCAGGGGCCGGCCGGGCGCCACCGGGAGCGAGGCCCGCCCCGCCACGCCCGCACTCTCCCCGCCCGGCCGCGAGGCGGAAACGCGGCGGCGAAGGAATCGGCCCCTCCCCCTCCTATGGGGAGCGGTTGCGCGCCGCGCGTTCAAGGCAAAGCGCCGGCACGTAGGCGCGGCTCCAGGCGAAGGACGACGCCCCAGCCACCCCCGCACCGGGCGGCGGGGACGACGCGCGACGCGCCTTTGGAGCCGCACGGCGGGCAGCGAGGGCTCTCCACCGCAGGACTCTTCCCTCCCAGCCTCGCTGGCTTCTTCCTTCGCCACCTCCGCACCGGGCGGCGCCCACGGCGAGGCGCCACGACACCCTTCGACGGGGCGCCCCCGGCCTCTTCCGCGCCGTGCCAGCCACAACCGGACGCCCGGCGCACTTCCGGCCGAGCGGAAGCGCGTAACTACCTTCCCTCCTGCGAAGCCCGGCCAGCCGCCCGAGCAGCTCGAGGCGCACCTCCGCCACTGCGTGCGCCGCCGCACGACTCCCCCGCGCGGCAGTGGGCCCGCGCGGGCCGTGACGACGGACTCGGCATAGAACAAGCAGCGGCGGGCACATGCAGCGGCGGCACGCACCGCCAGCGAAGCTCCGGGCGCGGCCGACCCGGAATCCGCCCCCCTGGAGGTCAACGCTCCCCGCCGCCCCGCGCCGGCTGGGCCGCGCACAGAACGCCGCAAAACTCACCAAGGCGTGGCGCACAGACATGCCTCGGCACGCCCACACTTTGCCGGAGTCCCCCACCCCAGCGGCAACGAGCCGCGCACGGTGAGGGGAGGCGACAGAACTCTGTGGACGCCCCGACTGGGCCGTAGGCAACCGCACACACCGACGCCGTTGCGGCCACTTCTCGCGAGAGCAGCCCGCCGCTACTCCCCCCGCCCCTTTACCGCGCCAGTGATCGACTCTGCGCACCCGACGCAGACGGCGCCCGCACACACGTCGCCGAAAGTAGAAATTCTCGCAACAGCCACTGCGTTGTCGCCCTTTGCGCCCTGAGCACACCCCACCCCTGCCCGAGCTACCGCGCGACCTCTGCAGCGCGGCCATTCCCGCAACATTAAGCACGGCGCAGCACGGAACACGCGGCGCACACAACCCAGACGCCAACCGGCAGCGCAACAGAGGCGCAAGCAGGCGTGGTGCCCCGGCGCCGCAGCACCAGCCGCCTCCCACGCCAGTTGGGAATGGTCCGCAGGAAACTACCAGGGACCAAATACGGATGCATTCGACGGGATTTTTTATTTGCCGTGAAGCCACACGCACGCAAACGCAGATAAAAAGAGCGGGAAAGCAGACAGATATACACAGATATATATATATATATTCTTCGGCAAACAAAAAAACAAAACTTGGGAATAAACACATTTATGTATGTACAAAGAAGAAGCCCCAAAAAAAACGGATGAGGAGTTACAGAGAGGCACAGAGGGCAGTATAGAACAATCCACTTAAACACTTGTTTACTTTTTCTGCATTTGTTTGTTTGTTTATTTGCCCGTTGTTGCTTATCCAGGAATATTTTTTTTGTACGGGCTGCAAGGGAAAGTTTTATGCTTGGTCCCCACAAGGACCACACCACCACACACGCACAAATACACCGACAGTGAACTGCTCCGTCATCCAAAGAAAGAGCATGGATCCAGAGGAATTTACGCTTGCGCCAAAAAAAGTTCTTAATGAATTCTACCGCCTCTTGGGCAGTATCGGCAAAGCAAAGCGTATCGACGTCTTCCCTTGAGACCGTGCCAAACTCCAAAAGTGCCTCCCAGTTAACGACCGTCTTCCAGAACTTGCTGCAGAATAGAACGATGGGGAGTTCCGGAATCTTCCCTGTTTGACGCAGGGTGAGCAACTCGAAGAGTTCGTCCAGCGTTCCAAGCCCACCTGGTGCAACAACAATGGCGCGACAGGAGTACATCATCCAAAACTTGCGTGTAAAGAAGTAGTGAAACTCAAATGCGAGGTCCTGAGTGATGTATCGGTTAAGGCCCTTCTCGAAGGGGAGGGAAATGCCCATTCCCATCGTTGCGGAACCCTCCACGGACGCCGCCCCCTTGTTCGCGGCCTCCATGAAGCCAGGGCCACCGCCGGTTGTGACTACAAGGTCGAGGAAGTCATCCCCCGAAGGCGGGCTGGAGAGGTCCTTGTTCACCTCACTTAGGGTCGGGCGGAAGTAGTCCGGTATGTGCGTAAACGAGGCGTTGATGAGCTTCCGGTGAGTGACAGCAAATTCGGCAATCAAGCGCGACAACTCCCGCACCTTGTCCACCCACTCACACGTCCACTGCATTCTCTGTAAACGGTGCAGCTCCCGTTCGGCCTTTGCCTTTGCCTCGTCGTTTTGGGCCACAGCGAGGGACGCCTCGTGCTTCTGCATGGTACGTTTGTGCTCCTCCGCCGTCATCGCCCGCGCACTCCCGAAGACGAGCACGGTAGACCGCACCTTGTGCCTCCGCAGCCGGCCCGCGGGCTCTTCAAACTCGCACAGAATGCGAATAAGCCGCCCCTGCGAACTCTGCAGGAAATGCTCGTTATTGTACGACTTCACCGTCGGAACAAACTCACCACCATCGAGGTCCTCCAACTTCTGCGTGTACGGTGCCTCCGTCACTTCCTTTACCCCTTTTTCATGGCGCGAGTTAATTAAGTACAAAGATGTAAATTAGCTATTGCTCAGTACCGCCGCCACCTTCGCCGCTGCAAGGCACACACACACGCACACACACACGGAGAAGGGGGAGGGAAAAAAAAGAAAAAAGAAAGCCACGGTTGTCTAAAAAAAAGAAGTAATAATTTTATTTTGAAAAGGAAAAAACAAAATCCCCCCAAAAGTAAAGGGCAAATCATACGGAGCAGGGAAGTAGGGGCCATAGAACTGCACGTAGAGACGCGCAGGCAGCGGCCCACGTAGTTTCATGTTTAGAAATAGCGAGAGGAGAGGGAGGGGAGGGAAAGAAATACATACAGAGAGAACCACACGGCTTTTACTTCTCACTCGCTTCGTGGCAGCAAAAGTGCATTTCATTCGTACCTCCGATGATTCGTGTTCGGGCCTGACAGCGTCGCCGCGTGGAACTTGCGAAGGGGGCGGAGCCAAAAATGACAAAGAAATCAACAACAATAAAAAAAAAGAAAGAGGAGCTTCACGTCTGAGGTGAACCGCCAGCTCAAAGCGAAAAGAAGCAGAGCGTGGAAGGCCAGAAGGCAAGAACGCCGTAAAATAAACTCGGTAAAGGGCGGGCGAAGCAACGCGAAGAGTGACGCGCGCAGCCCAAGCCGAGAGACGCACTCTGAAGAGGCACCAGCCGCTGCCTCGCGTGGCCCTCGCACACCGCCACTTCTCACCTTGCCACGCACACACCTTCCCGGCACTCCATGCAGCGAGCAGCACCGCGGTACAGGAAGAGGCAACAAGAAAAAAAACAACACACCAGTACAACATAAATATCTATAAACGAAGTAAGGCATCAACAAGTGAGGAACAAAACAAAAAAACAAACAAGGAAAGAAAAAAGACACATAATTACACAACAATCACTACCCCATCTGTACAGGGAGGAGCCCTCTAACCCCTACTCGACCCCGCCTACTCCCTCTACGCTCGGTGGTGCATTTTTCTTTCTATTCCTCCTCCTCTCACCAACGCCACCACAGCCATCCCTCAATGCTGCGCTCGTGTGGGTATGTGTGCTGCCCAGGCGCCGCTCCAGGTAATCTGTGTCCCCCCCGCTCACTAACCCAGGCCACAAATAGGCGCACACGCAGTCCCTAAAGGAACGCAAGTTACTTGTTGGCCCCGCTTTTTTTCCCCCCAGCCCCTTGTTTTTTTTGTTTTTTTTTCTTTCTTGGTAATCTCTGCTGAGCTTATTCGCAGTAACAGCGGGCGCCTACCACTACTTCTGCCGCTACTGCCGCGACCAACTTTTAAAGTGTCTTGGGTGCAGGTCCATAAATTTCGCTGCCGCAGTTGTTTTCCCAATGTGCCGCTGCATCAAGGTATCAGTATTTAAACACCTGTTCTTCTGTGTACCCCAAACTCTTAAGAAGCCCCAGGAGCGGTCCTTGCTCTGGAGCCTTTCCCTCAGCAAATACCTTGTCTCCTGCTAGTTCCGCTAACATAGACGGCGGTCCCGCTACAAGGATCTTTGTGTGCTTTTCGCCGGGCTTTGGCATAAAAGTACGAATCATGGCATCATTGATGCACCCAATACCACCCAACCAGCGATGCGGCACCTCCATAAGTGTGAGGTAGAGATTGAAATTGTTGTAGGTCTTCTGCAGGGTCGAGAGTTCGTTCGCCAGGAGAATGTCACGGCGCTGCTCATTTGCGTACACCAACGAGACATGTGTCCGATCCTTTGGGTTCATCAAAATCGCCTGCAGCAGTTGATACATGGGAGCTACACCTGTCCCACCAGCAAGCATGCCTACGCTCTTCCACATGTTTGGTTTGTAGGCAAATTTCTCAAAGGGCCCTTTGACCAACAGCTCCTCCCCGGGCTGTAACTGAAAGAGAAGTGCACCCATCTTGTCCCTTGGCCGCTTCTTGACGATAATCTCAAAGTGCCCCTTGGTGTTGTTCGCGGTGATGGGGGTGAAGGGCTGCAGCACGTCCTTCCCATCGACGTCTGTCAGCTTGGCGACGATACACGACGCGACAGGCACGGAGAAGGTCGACTCGGCGCTCTCGAGAGCGAAGTAAAGCCGCCGAGTGTCATGCGACTCGTACCGCGATGAAAGCAGTTTGAATGGGTGAAACTCGTCTGGCGTGAAGGTTGACTTGGGGGACGCACACTCCGCTGCAGCCGGCGGGGATGGGCGCTTTGCCCACGCGGCCGCGCTTGACGCAGCGCCCACAAGGCCGCCAGTAACAATACCGGGGGCGAAGGCGGAGACGAAACGCACCATTTGAAACTGCTAGAGTTAAGCAAAAAAAAAAAACGGGCTACCTGCAGACAAGTCAAGGAGACAAGGATAAAGAACCAACAACGACAACAAGAACAAAGGGACTTGAAACGAAACCAATATGAGCCACCTCTCTCCCTCGTCCGCCCCCTCAGATACAAATAGCGACAGCGATGCAAATATCACATATTTAAAAGGGGTAAATGCATGAACAACATACATATATACGTATATGCCATATGCCTACCAGTGTACAGAAGGAAACCCCTTATACGCACCAGTTAACTCCAACGCAGGCTGAAAGTTTTGTCGCAAGCATGTCAGCTCTCCTTGAACAATGCTCGTGCGAGGGTGGCGCGCCGTACCTCCCACCTCTCTTCACGTTGAGTGTCCAGAGTGCTGCTTGTCACCCCTCACACGTCACGTCTGTGCCTAAGAGCCAGAGAAGGCCAGGGCCCTGTGCTTCCGCGGGGAAGACCAAACGGGAACGACGCCTCCCAGCGCCACAGTCGCACACCTCAAGCATAAGATGTATTCGTCTGCACATCTAAACACCACCACATAACCCATCTCCAGCCTGCCTTGGAGTTGCCTCCTTCGGCGCAAAAAAGCCTACTCACCAAAGCTCGCGCCACTTCAGCTTCCCTTCCCGTACTGAAGGAGAGACCAGTTCTCATCAACGCCCGCCACGCGTCAAAGCGGAGCAAATGTGCAACGTGAAAGAGCACTCGGCACCGCCGTGGCTTACCCTCCGCCAGACTGCGGGCTCCTCTCTCAAGCAGGGCGTGCAACCACATCCTTCTTTTTGCTGTTGTCGTTGTTCGATTCCCTTCGCCTCCTCCCCGCCTGCATCCCCTAGCAGCGTCCGTGTTTGGGAAAGGGCAGTGAGGCTCCGAGGAGGCCAGCGCACAGGCAGGCACTGGGATGAAGGACGCCGACTAAAAACAAAAAGAAAACGAACCAAGAGCCTATTGCCTTGAGTAAGAAGGAGAGGAACAGGCGCATGCACGCAAAGCCCGTACAGAACAGATGCACGACATCCAGCCTGCCCGCACTCGGGAAGGGAGTAGGCAAAGTGGGAGGGATAAATAAAAATATATGCTCATGCCGAGAAGCAAACAATGAAACTCGTTGCCTCGCACTCATTTAGAAACAAAAAGATACGACAACATGAAAAAAAAAAAACAATTCCTCAATCCCCTTTGCGCTTGCTGTATTCTATGTTTCCTGTATCCCTTTATTGTACACCCCACCCCACCCCATCCCATCCTTTTTTTTTTGCCCACTCGCTTCTTCCTGCAGAATTTGTGCGTGTGGGGAAGGAGGAGAAGTTTCCCCTTGCACACCAACTCCCTCCCGGTTTACACTTTTATTATCGCATGTTACCCACACTGCACCATAATGTGTGCCTTCGATAAGTTTACTTATACATCAATGTAGATATATAGTGATAGATATAGATAAGACTTGCGTGTGCACGTGTAACCATTTTACTCCGCCGCATATCCCCCCCCTCCCCCCCTCCCACCGCCAAGGCCAGCACCAAAAATTTTTGCTGCTTGCAGTACCTCCTGGGGGAGCGAATGTAAATCTGGTCCGTCCCCCACTCTTCGCGGTAATTCACGTACCGTTGGATGACCTCGCTTTTCGTTTTCTTTTCTCCGTTCTTGTTTTCACGATTGTTATTTTTATGCTTGTCGTTCCGCTTATGCCTCCCCCGCCACGCCGTTCCTGTTGTGCCAATGGAAAATAGTACGACGCTTTTTCTTTTTTCTCTTTCGTTTGTTACTGCTGGTTGCGGTTCGCCTCCCACGGCGGAGGAGCTCCCTACCACCTCCTGCAATCATCCGCAGCCCGCCGTCGGGCGCGGCTGCATTTTGTGTGTACGTAATATGTGCGTCCGTGCGTGTGCGCAAATAAATACATACGTGCACGCCGCAACGGTATCCCTCTTATTTTCATGTTTTTTTTTGTGCGTGTTACCCCACTTACCCCGCCCCTGCGCCTCCGTCCACCCCCCACCTCTTCTACGTCCCTTTACCGCACTGTGCGTGCGTGCGTGTTGTTTGTCGTGGTTGGACCCAGCCGCAGACTCGTCAAGCAAACGTGGCACCGCACGCGCACAGAATAAACAAATAACTACACACACTTATTGTACAAGACAAATGAAAAAAAAAACATGAGAAGTTTTTGCTACGGCCTTTCGCCACTCCCGGGACTTGTGGAAATAACGCGAGGGGCTCAGTAGCCGCGCAGGTGCCGCAGTGTAAGCTGCCACGCCACATCCGCAACATTATCGTGGTACGCCGAGTAAACGCTGAAACGATCTCCCGCACATTCAAGAGCGTCGAGCAGCTCAAGCACGGCGGCGCGATGCATAATGTCGTGCGCGCACCAGTTGTCAAACATGCGCTTGAGCGGGCGAAGCCGCATGGCGTCCGCCTTGGACGCCTCCGCCACGTCGTTAAGCGTCTGTGTATGGTACATGATAAGCTCCATTGCCACGGCCCCCTGGTAGAGAATGCCGGGCCGCTTGCTGAGTATCGCGTCCACGACGTAATCCACATCGGCGCTTGAGGCCAGCATGCGGTCGTTGTTTCCGGACACGCAGGAGCACGCAAGCACGGCGCCCACCACCCGCATCACCGCAATCAACTCGCACACAGTGGAGTTGTTGCCCAGAGGACTCAACGCCAATTGGACGGCCTCGTCGCGCCACCGCGGTGGCGTCGCCGGGGAGAAAGCACCCGCTTCCGCCGCCGCGTCGCGAATCTTGCGAAACAGCACAAACTCAGGGTCCTCTGAGACACGCGCAAACACCAAACACTGCGCCAGTGGGTCGTAGTGCCCGGTGCTTGCGAAGGAGTCCCCGAGTGGGCTGCTGCGTAGCGAGAACGACGGCGACGGTGGCCCCCGTGGACGCATAGATGGTGTCCCGGGCATCGCGTTGCTCGTTCCCGAGCTCACGCTCAACAAGTATGGAAGCAGCCGAAAGCGATTCTGAGCCGCAATGCGCAAGATCTGCCGCTCATCGTCAGGATCATGCAGATTGTTTAGCAGCTGCAGGCTGACAGGGTAACAGCTCTTTACCACCGTCACCATCTGATCCGTCCCTCCGCTTATCGTTAGCTCCCGCAAGAGCACGTTAAAGAGGCCGCACTGCATCATGTTACGCACCTTATCCACGTGCGGCAACGCATCATTGCAGGGGAGGTGGCAGTGGAGAATCATCTGTGCCATGTTTTCAAACATGCGTGGACAATTGTCGTATTCGCCCTTTTCCACATCAAAGCGAATCCACTCCAAGATTGTTGAAAAGAGAGTCCTCGCATCATACGCACCGCCACAATTACTTAGCAAGGCGGAAAGAAGCGATGGCACTTTTTTGCGGTCCTCAAATGAAGACGTCCTGGTAGTTGCAAGGCGCAACCACCAGGTAAGGCATACCACCACGTTTTTCAGCTCCATGCCCCGCAACATGGACACGGCCGCTGTCTCCTCACCGTTGCGAAAAAGGCTCATCAACTGCTCCGTGACATCCTTGATATTTACCGTCGTGTCAGTAAGCGTTGTGTTGCTGAAGCTTCCACATGGAGATCCTGGCCCGTCACTTGCGGCGTGTGCGAGACTCGCGCCGATGTGATGTGGTCGCATATCCGCCTGGGGTTGAACCCCAGAGTCCGGTCCCAAACAAACAGGAGTTAAGGGGCTGTTGAGTTGTAAGGAATCCATACTGCTATTGAAACGATTCTCAGTGCTTCCACTGGCAAGATGCGTAAGGACAAGCTGGCCGTAGGGTTGATGCTGTCCACGAGAGCCCCGCTCCTTCGTTTGAGGCGGAGATTGGATCATATCACTGGTGTTCTTATTATTACTGGTGTTGCCATTACTGTTAATACTGCAGGAGCCGTTGCCATTTCCATCCTCCCTGCTAACATCCTTGCTGTGGCCGCGGGGCTTATGCGTGTTTAATTGATTTTGACTCCCTCCGCTCTGATCCTCCCCAACGAGGTGCTGTAGTGGCGGGGCCCTCACGCTAAGCTCCGGTGGCTTACTCACCGACTTTCGCTCCTGTGGTGAGGCCAGAGAACCTGGAGACGTTGGGGAGACGACACTGGGCTCTTTTTCCTTGAGTGCAGCGATGGCGCTCGCGCCTCTGCCGGCCTTTGGATGCTGCACGTGCCGCTGCACCAACTCCGCTGCCACCCACCCATTCGCCCGGTTCAAGTCACTTAGGTCCATCATCAGGAACACCACCCGCGGTTTGGGGTGCGACAACTCAATGGACTTCGCAATGCCCAGCGCCTGTGCGAGGAGTTTCGGCATTTTCTTCTTCAGCACTGCCCCCGTGTGGCGCAGCAGCGTCTGAAAGACCTCAAACACCGCCTCCTCCTTGGCGGTGGGCTCATCGGGCGAATAGTCCTTCACAAGGATGCGGATGATGTCGTCAATGACGCGCTCTGTAACAAAACCGATCTTGAAGAGTTCCGCGACAAAACGAATGTTGCCAACGAGGCGACCCTTCAATCGACTGCGCTTTCCCTCCACCTCCTCCTCGCTCAACGGTGCCCCCGTCGTGCGGTCGACCAGTTCATCCGCGGAGAGTTGCAAGGGGCGATGAAACTGTTCCTCGCACGACGCAATTAACATGCGACGGAATCGTCGTGAGAAACTTTGGTCGCGCGACTCCGAGTCGCGCTCGCCATCCTTCACGGCGCAGATGTCTTGCGCAAGGCGCGCGTAAAGGCCGCAGTACGCAGGCTCCTGCACGGCCTTTTCAAAGACAATCTTGCAAATCTCCAACAACTCCGCGTCCTCCACCTGCCGCAGCGGGAGCAGCATCAGTTCCTCCATAAGAACATCGTACTTGGCTCGTGTAATGCGACTGAGAATCGACATCACCTTGTGGTGAGTGAGTCGAACAGGTTTCGCACGTGACCTGCCGCCCTTCAGACTGCAGCCGAGCGTCCCACGTTTAGGGCCATCGTCGTGCTCCGTCGCCTCATGCAGTGAGAGCTGAAGGTGGACAGGAACCTTTAGCGACGGAACCCGCAAGTACTGCCGCACCACCCAGCGAAGCACGCCGTACGGTGTGTGGGCCGCATCGCGTCGGGCTGAAAGAAACATTTCCACAGGGTAAACCCTCGTCTTGGTTGCGTCCGCCGTAAAGGCGTGGGAGAAGATGCTCACTTCCGCGCTTAGCCAAGGGAAACTGCTGCTGCTGCTCACAGGGGGCAAAGTGTCAGAGTCAAGCGCGGGTTCCAGACACGCCGACTGCCCTAGCGCTGGCGGCGGCACCAAACGGGGCTCCTTTGGGGTCGATTCTGGAGTTGCACCGCTTCCCGAGTACCACGGCCGTGGCAAGAGCGCCACGGCCCCGTTGGACGGTGGCGCGGTCTTTGTGAAGCGTGCGGGGGGCCGGAACACCGACGGCTCCCACGTCTCCTTTCTCGCAAGACAAAGTGGGCCTGGCGCCACGGTGATCATTTTGGTAGGTGTTATAGGAAAAAAAAAACTGGTAATAATAGAATTAAGATAAAACCCTGCCAATAACTTTGTTTCTTTGCGTTGACGTTATTGTTTCCCACGCGCCCCCTCCTTTTTTTCTTTTCACTTTTCCTTTTTTCTTTTCCGTGCAAAACAAAAAATATATATATATATATTGTGTTTGCTTTGTCTGAGGCGGCGTCCGCGTGGGTTTGTTGGGCGGTGACTGCGGCGGCAATGGAGAGCGTGGGAGAGAAGCGGGTCCAGAGCAAAGGCGCCCGGCGGCGGTTGCCCGCAGAAGCCACAACTGACCAGTGGAGGCGACGCACAAATACGAGAAAAAAAAAACAAGACGGAAAAGTGGGAGGGAAGCGAGATACGAGAGAGAAATCACATCCGACAGGAGGGGAGGGGAGGGGAGGGTGGGGGGAACGCCACGACGGCACCTCCTCCTGCTTGGCCCCTCACGGCACTGGCGGAGGGGAAGCGGACGGCGGCGCCAAGAGTGACTCGGCCCGGCGGAGTGCGAGTTGCAGCTTCTCCTGCAGGTAGGCGACATCTCTGTCGCCGCCGTGCGATGCCGGCGGCTCGCCCTTTTCCACCGCAACGGCGTTCTCGCGGCGTGCGTCCTCCAGGAGGGCGGAGATTTCACTTTCGCTCAACGGCGGAGGCACATCGCGCGACCAAGCAGGGCGTGGCACACCGGCAATTCGCTCCACCCCCGCCGCCGGGCACAACGCCTCCATCCGCAGCGAATCATGCAATTGCGAGAGCCGCGCGTTGATCGAGCGCATTCGAGACCGAAATATTCGTTGCTCACGGGCCTCACGCATATACGCATCGCCAAGCTCGCGAGCTGTTTTCTCTACGTGCGGTTGCTGCCCACTTGCTTGCTGTCCCAGCGGTGACAGGGAAGCCTCCTCGTCGCAATTGCCGCAGTCGCCGTCGTCGGTGGTGGCGCCGTTCTCGTCAGCGCAAAGTGGGCCGCGGACCTCCTGAAACCACCGCAGTCGCTCCTCCAGCGCCGCGAGCCGCTCCGTTGGCATCGCGTAAGGTGACGGCTCTTTTGCAAAATCCGTGCGCAAGATCTCCTCAATCCGTTGGTTCTGCTCCCCGTTGAGACCGACGCCTCGCACCGGTAGCGACGGCGGTTTTGCTGTCGGCAGCGGACGCCGCCGTGCCCCCGCCGCGGCCTTCTTCGCCTCCCTCGGCTTTTCAAGCGGTTGGGGCTGCTGCGGGGGCGTTGGGGGCGCGGGCAGCGCCATCGGAGGCACGGCGGGGGGCGGCGAACGCACGCGCACGCTGCGACCGAGACGCCCCCGCGGGCGCGGGGTGTCACCGGCCGCCGCCGCCACCACCACCGCCTTCGCAGCACGCAACTCCGTCCGCTCGCTGGGCGCAGTTGCCGCCACGTTGCCCTCGTCGCTCTCACGCCGCCCCGCATCCTCCTCGGCGGCCCCTGCAACGCGCACGGAGGCCTCGTCCACCACCGCCGCCGCCTGCTCCCTCTCCTCCGCGGCAGCCGCCCCGGCGCTGAGTCGCTCTTCTTCTTCATCTTCATCTTCATCCTCGTCCGCGGTCACCGGCACGAGGACTTTGCCCTCGCCGTCCACGCATATGTGATACTCCCCCCCATCGTTGTCAAAGGCCGTGATGAACGTCGCGATCCTCTGGTTCAGTGTGTCCAGCTCCTGTTCAATGTCAATCGACTCCCCCCGTTCCTCGCCGGTTGGCGGCGGCGACGCCTCGGCCTCGGCCTCCGCGGGTGCATCTTCGCCCCGGCGCTGGAGGTACTTGACGAACATGGCGGAGTTCGCCTCCAAAAAACGCAGCAGCTCCTTGTCGCGAATGCGTCTCACGTCCTCCTTCGTGAGCGCAATGTGACGCCCGCCGTTGACAAACGGCACACTCTTCTGCAGCATCCGCTCAGCGCGAGCGATGGAGGAGAGCGACATGGACGGCGTGACCGAAACCGCCGTTGAGGAAGTGGCGTTCACCACGTCGCCAAAGTCGTAGTTGTCGGAGCCGTCATCGCTGCCGAGGCCCGCGGAGTCTTCGCCCCCCAGCAACTCCGCCAGGCCCTCGTCGAGCTGCGTCTCCAGCACACGGCCGGAAAGAACATGCAGAAGCATGCGGGAGGCAAACGAACTCAGCGTTGAGTCGACAGCATCGCGTGACTCTGCGGCAGGGCTATCGGGCTTCCCGCCGCTGTGACTCGAGGACGCAGAAGTGGGTGTGTGGTACCTTGGCTGCATACATGCAGCCACGCATGTATTAAGTACTAGATATCTATCTATCTATCTATCTATCTGCGCACAGCCTGTAACGAGGAAAGATGAGGGAAGAGTTCGGCGGGAAACAAAGCAACAAAACACAGGCGCCAAGCTCATGTTTTTTTTTAAGCCGAGATGTGCCTCAAACGCGTCTTTGCCCCAAATGGTGCGCAGAGAAACCGAAAAAAAAAAAAGATACGCAAAACGGAAGTAAGTCACTACGGTACACACCTCGATATGGCGAGAGAAGTAAAAAAAAAAAGCACACACACACGCACGCACAGCGATACGCAGCAGGGCTCAATATAATAGTTGTAGAGGGAAAGTAAAAAATAAAAATAATAGTAAGTGCACGTTGCCAGGCCACGGCGGGCAAAACAACGCAGTCGCCTCCTCCCATCGCGTCCCGCCCCCCTATTCGCCCACAAGCCCATCGTCCCTGATGATGGAGGGCCGATAGGAAACTTCATGGGCGGGGTTTGCAGCCGGACCCTCAGGGAAACGCGCCAACAAACGTGCGGCGCTGCTCTCCGGCGTCGCCGTGAGCCCCGTCGGGGTGCCACTGCACCGACTGCCTTTCACGCCCAGGCCGTACGTTCCATTAGGGGAAAATTTCATGTACTGCGCCCGCTGCAGTGGATTGAGTTTATCTGTATGCGACGGGACACCGGCGACCACTTGAAACCCCTGTAGCCGCGCAGGTCGGTGCCCCATTGCCGGCTGGGCGTCGCTGGCGATGCCGCCTCCAGCAACGGGCCGCGAAGGCACAGTGCCAAACACCTCCTTCTGCTTCGTTGCCAACGGGCGAATAATGTCCCACCTGTGGTTAACGAGAGCGGCGTCCTGTTGCAACGCCACCTGCTGACCCTCGTCATACTTTACAATTAGAGCATCGTGGAGCCTGCTACGCACTTCACACTCCTGCTGTTTCAGCAGGCGGAGGGCGTGGACATCGTACTCGTCAATATTAGAATGGACAGCCCTGTTATTGTTGGTGTCGCGGATGCACACAGATGACGTAGTGCGGGGTCGCCGCACGACGGCTGCAACACGGTTGATGTGCGTCGGTCGACGCAAGCAGTCAACCTGAATTCCAGGATCGGTGAAGCTGGCGCACGCAATCACACGGCAGCGGCTGCCAAAGTGGTACTGCGTCAGTGTGCTTGTGAGCGCTGAGAGCAGCTGGTGCCCCTCGTCGTCGCAGGCAAACGCAAAGAAAAGATCATGCTCCCCCTGTACACGAATCAGCATGCACGGGGGCATGTCTTTGCGCTCGCGCCTCGAATTTATGTACACCGCTTCTACCAGTTCCAGCGCGGCACAGCGCGCGGTGTCGGCTTCAGAGTTGCCCACATAAATGTGCGAGGAGGTGAGGTAGGCGCAGCGCAGCGTCGGCGCTGCCGGTTGCTCCCAGTGAAGCACGCGGCCAAACCAAAGGAGTGCGGCCCTGCCACAGAAACTGGGGAAGAGAGGCTGCAGCGGCTCCGGCACCTCCACAAAGGGAATTTCGGTCCGAAGGTCCACCTTTGCAAACTCCGCCGCGGTGACGTCTTGGGGCCCCGGTGGGAACCGCAACGGCTTCTCCGCGCCGTACTGCTGCTCAAGTTGAAAGAAAAAGTCCTCTTCACCGCCGCAGAAGGAGTGAATCGCCTCGTCAATCTCCGCCTCGTCAGGCTCTGGCAAGCCCGCACGCACAAAGAACGCCGCAACGCGCGCGCGATTGCGCCGTGTGGCAATCACGGGTTCAGGGCCGTATTTCTTCTCAAGGCCGTAGAGGAGAGCCTCCTCAGATCCGGCGAATCTCTGGAGCAACGTCTCAGCCTCCCCACTGCGTTCGGGTACGTAGCGGGCGAGAAAGGCCTCTACCCGCTGAAGCCACGAAGGGCGGCCCACAGCTTCATCCTCGCACGGCGGAGAGGGGGCCGAGTGGGAGGAGGTCGGCGGAGGCGGCAACGCGGGCTGTGCCGGCGGCGAGGCGGAGTCCTGGTCAGGCGGCATGGGGCCGTAGAGTTGTGTGAGTCGGTCAAAGAGCAGCTGCTCCCGCTCGCGGTAGAGCGCCATGATGGCGTCAACGTCGGCAATCTTCCTTGGCTCGTAGTGACGGTAAAAATTCACCAGCGCCCTCCGGACCTCCTCCGGCGTCAGGGTTGTGCGGTTCCTTTCCAGCGGCACCGGCGCCTCCCGGGGCTCCGGGCCGTACCGCTGCACAAGCCGACGAAAGAGCTCCTCCTCACGCGTCTTGTAACTGTAGAGGACCTCGTCGACGATGCCAACGCTATCGGGAAGGTACTTTGCACAGAACGCCAGCAGCCGCTCACGATATTTGGGTCCTGCGCGACGCTCCTGCCGCACAGCGTATTCGGGGTAGGTACTGTAGAGGAGGCCGAGCAACTCCAACTCTCTCCCAAAGTAGTGCTCAACAAGCGCAGCGGCTGTATGCTCTCGCGATGGTTCACACTCCCGCAGGATATCCTGCACGCAATCAAAGACAAAATTGCGGTATCGCACACTCTCTGACGACGGCGGCAGCACAACGGTGGGTGTCTTCTGCCCCTTCCTTGGCCTCACCCGCAGCCTCAACCCCTTCGTACTTGTGATGGGCCTAATGGGGGGCAAGTTGGTTGGATCGACGGCGCGGAGGGCGCTGTGCAGCTGCGCGAGCAACCGCTCATTGTCGTGCACATGTGTTTGAACGCAGATCTCCACATCACTCAGGCCCGAAACTAAGAAGGTGAGGCGCCGCCTTAGCGCACCGTCGATGCGGTGAACGAGAATGACTGAAATGGCGTGCAACGGCAGGACGCGCACGGGTTGCTGTTCCTGCACCACCACGACCTGCGCCGCGGTGACGAAGAGGACGGCCTCCGACGCCTCCCGCAGAGTCTCGCCGTGGAACTTCACGCGCCCACCCCAAAAGAGCAGCACGTCCTTGAAGGGCGGGAAGCAGCGCCGAACGGCAACTGGCACCCACATCCCCGTGGCGACGCCGTCGGAGGTCGCCGTCGCTCTCCGCTCCTCATCCGCCACGCGGGCGAGCGTCGCCACAAACTGCCCCCTGCAGACGCCGACAGGCAACGCATCCGCCCCGCCGCGTGCCGGGATGCTTTCGCGCAGCGCCTGCTGCTCCTGCGGGCCCGCGACGGGTGTGCGGGGCGGCGGGAGCCGCACAGCCCCCTGCGGCAGAGAGTGACACCCATCAACGGCGCACGTGTGCATCGGAACGGCGCGCTCGCGCGACGACAGCAGCCGCAGCGCAATCAGCGCGGCCACGTGGCCCGGGCGACCGGCCAAAACGATATCGCTTGGCTCCTGTTGGCCGCTAAGCACAAACGCCGTGAAAGGATTCCGCGACCGTTCGGGGTCGTTGACTGAGGGGAGATCGCCGTTCGCCACGAGACGGCAGATGTTCGTGAGCTCCACGCGCCGGTAAATCCCTCCCTGCTCGTCCCCAAGGTAGAGGGCATCGCGCGTGAGAAGCACCACAACGGGCTCTTGCCGGCTTTCGTTGCCCGCCGCCAAGACAAACTGCTCTGCTTGTGCACAGTAATAAGCAGCGCAGCCGTCGACAAAGCCGTATGCGGCCCGCAGCGCATCAGGCACGACTGCGAATGGCAAGCCAGTGGCGGGATCGATGCATGACGACATGAGCTGCTTCCACCTACTGAACCGTCAAGCAGAAGCGACGCAAAGAGAGGTAGCAGCAGAGGAAACAGGGGGGGAAACAAGGAAGAGAAAGGAAAGAAAAAAACAACAACAAGAAAAGAAGAAGTGCATGTGTAATTGTAATGGGTGTGGGAAATGTGTCAAGCCATATATAAGGCATGTGCATTGTTTTTTTTTTCAAGAAGACAAGCAACCACACACACGACGTCCATATTTCACCGATGACGCAGTGCAAATCGTCAGGGGGTCCTCACTGCGCGGAGCCGCCGTACACGGGCGAGGCCCCGGTGTACCAATCCGGTGAGCCGGTGTTGTCGGTGGACTCCTCCTGCAGCTGCTTCACACTGTCGTGCGCGCTGTGCTTCACCTCTACATGGTACTGCGTCCCGGTGCTGCCCACGTGGTCATCTTCCAACATGCTCGCCAGCGAATCCGCCGAGAGCGCCTCACCGGAGCCCGACTCTTTCGGTGCGGCCGCCTCCGTCTCCGCACCCGACGCTGGGGCCGACACGCGCGACACCGTTGCCGTGAGTCCGCTCGCCGACGCCGCGGCCTCCCGCTGCTCCTTCGCCAGCAGCGTCACCTGGTGCGGCGTCAGCTGCTCCCGGTGCAGCTGCGCAAGGACGTTCAGCACAACAGTGGCCTCCCGCATGGTAATAAACCGCCCCGACAACTTTGCCTCCTCCGCCTGAACCGCGGCCACCCGCTTCTTCACCGCCAAGTCATTGTAAAAGCCCTCGAGCACCTTCTTGATGGCCTCGCTGTGGGCAACGCCCCTCCGCTTGAGCTCGTAGTACTCCTTCTCCATCCGGTCCAGCGGCTTGCGGACCCAAAAAATGTTGTAGTACCGCATCCCCTCCGACGCCACCAACCGACTCTTCCGCGCCAGCTCGTCGCGGAGGGCGACCCGCTCTGGGCCCAGCGACCCCGCGTCGTCCTGCGTTGGCTCGCTCGCGTTGCGCGGGTTGAGCGTCTTCTCCTGCTGGAAGTTGTGGTTGATTGGCGGAAACATGCGAAAGTGATTGTACCACTCCGGCGGAATGTAAAAGCCGGTGCCCACCAGACGGCCCATCCGCTTCATGTGCTGCCAGGGCTCGTGCGACTCATTCCACACGTCAAAGCGCGGTGCGACGCCCATGTTTTTCGGCATCTTGTACCGCCACAGCGCCGTCGACCGCATTCTCGCCTCGCTGCTGCACTTCCTGCGGCCGTCACCCCTTTCCGCCCCCTACGCGTCCCGTAAAACTATACGTCTCTCCTTCTCCCTCTCTCCCTCTCTGCGTGTGCGTGTGTGTGTGTATGTGTGTGTGCCACGCCCGTCGGCGACTTTTCCCTAGTGACTGGTGCGGTGCTGCAGCGAGAGCGCGTGCGGAGCGAGGGGGCAGCGAGGCGAGGAGCATCACAGCAAGCACGGCCGCGGAGGCACGCGGGTTTGTGCGCCGCAGCGTGTGTGTGCGGCCGACGGAATGGTCGGAGCCAGACAAGAGCAAAACAGCAATCGCCCGCACAACGAAACGAAAAGTAAATAAATAAAAGAACGCGCGGCACGGCGAAGAAGACTCACATCACATCCCAGAGACAAGTGTCGGCGGCAACCGAGCAAACCCAAAATACAACAACAACGAACCGTAAAAGAGACCCAACGCGCCGCGGTCGGTCTCGCCACACGCGTCGCAGTGGTCAGTTGCCGCGCACCCACCCGCACTGTGCACAAGGGATGGGAAGCAGCTTGCCGCGGCAAATGGGAAAGGCACAAACACACCAAAAAGAACTAAAAACAAAACAAACCCCCAAAAGGAAAAGGCGCACAAACACGCAGACGCATGCACGACGGTGGTGGTGGTGGTGGTGCCTATAAAAAAAAACGCACACACACCACGCACCCAGAAACAAAACCACAAACACATAAATATATAACCTGGCGACAGGGAAAATTCCATCTAGCATGCACGGCGTCTTGTCGTGGCGTGTGCTTTCCCGTTCATGTGGATGAAGGGCTGTTTCGCCCCCCGCTTCCTTGTCCCCCACGACGTACTCTGAAGTTGTTGTTTTTATTTTTTTTTGTTTCCTTCATTCATTTTCCTCTCTCTCTCTGCGTGCGTTCCTTTTTTTTTTCTTGTTTCCTTGTGTGAGTGTGTGAGTGTGTGTGTCTTGGCGACTTCTGTCGTTCTTTCTACTCTTTTTTCGTTGTTCTTCTCATTTTAGTTTCGCTCTCCTTCTCTCTCTCTCTCCCTCGTCCCTGTCTGCCCTACTCCCTCCTCCTCCTCCTCCTCTCCCCCACAGTCGCCTCCAGCTCTCGACGGCGTCAGTCGCCCCTCCTGCCGCACTCTGCATTCTCCTCGCGTCCAGGGGACCCGCGTGTGTGCCCCACGGCACACCGCACACAGCACTCACACGCACAGGCGTAAATAATGGGCGAGGGAGGGAGGTCGCCCGGTGTGCGGCAGGCATGCACCTCGGTCCATTTCGCAGTGGGGCCCCAGGAAAAAAACCGCCGCCGCTCTGCTTCCTCTCCCTTTTCCTTTGCTCCCCTCGTCGCTGCGCACAACACTTGCGGTGGTGAGGCGCGTGTGGCAAGTGGTGGGTGAGTGCGTCCGTGCAGGCATATAGACCCAACCATCCACCCACCCACACACACACACATGCACACACGTCGTTACATACAGAGAGATATATAGAGAAAGATAGATAGAAACAGACAGGCATAGCTGTCTAAAGCAGGAACTTCTTGATATCCACCTTCTTTACCATGTTTTCTACGGCCTTATTCACGTACGCCGCGTCGATGACAAACGTCTCACCCTTCCTGTCAGGACCATCGAAACTGATTTCCTCAACAACCTTCTCTGTAATCGTGATGAGACGGCGTGCGCCAATGTTCTGCACAGTGGAGTTAATGTGGGCGGCAACATTGGCGATCTCCCAGAGGGCGTCCTCCGTAAAGACAAGCTTGACGCCCTCCGTTTCCATCATGGCAACGTGTTGCTTGATGAGGTTGTACTTGGGCTCTGTTATGATGCGGTGGAAATCCTCGGAGGTGAGCGGCTTCAGCTCCACACGAATGGGAAGGCGTCCTTGGAGCTCCGCCAACATGTCGGAGGGCTTGACGCTATGAAAGGCACCACTGCAGATAAAGAGAATTTTATCCGTCTTTATTTGCACATTAAACTTGGTGGAGACGGTTGTGCCCTCAACAAGGGGGAGCAGGTCCTGCTGGACCCCCTCCGCAGAGGCCTGGTGCCCCTTGTACCCCCCAGAGGCCGTGACAATCTTGTCGATCTCGTCAATGACGACGATGCCGTCCTCCTCGCACGCCCGCAAGGCCTCCGCGGAAACGTCCTCCGTGTCAACCATCTTCTCAAGCTCCTCCTGCTGCACGGCAGGAAGGGCGTCCTTAATCTTTAGCACCTTCTTCACCGTCCGAGTCTGCGCAGCGCCCAGTGCGCCGGGGAGGTCAATGGCAATAAACACACCTTCACCCGCCGCCGTCTTTGGCTTGGGAGCCTTCTCCTGCAGCTCCACCATCACCTCGATGTCGTCCAGGGCACCGGAGCGAAGGTGCTCGCGAAACCCATCCGATACCCCAGCCAGCGCCTTCAAAATACGGTCCTCCGCCTTCTGTCGCGCCACAGCCTCGTTTTGGCGCATGAGATTCTGTTTTGTTTGCGTCAGGGAGGCCTTGTAGAGGTCCTCGATGATGCTCTCCACATCTCGGCCATGGAAGCCCACCTCCGTAAATTTGGTCGCCTCCACCTTCACAAACGGCGCATCCACCAGCTTTGCCAGACGCCGGGCAATTTCCGTCTTTCCAACGCCGGTCGGGCCTATCATGAGGATGTTCTTGGGAGCGATTTCCTCGCGTAGCTCCGGGCCCACTTGGTGGCGTCGCCAGCGATTGCGCAGCGCCACCGCTACCGCCTTCTTTGCGTCGTTCTGGCCAATGATGTAGTTGTCGAGCTCCCGCATCAGCTCCCGCGGGCGCATGTTGCGGATGAGCGTCCGCCCCGGTGCCGAGCTCGGCGGCGGCGGCGTCGATGGGGCGGCGGAGGCGGTGGCCGCGGCACTACAGAAACGGACAGCGCCCGCGGCGCCGATGGCAACGCCGGTCGGCAATGAGAATGCAGTCGCGCGGCGCATGCTGTGGCGTTCCCCTCCCGTTTTACTCCTCTTGTCTCCTGCTGTTGGTGTCGGTGCAACTGCCACGTGCGTGTTGCCACACGCACAGAACAAAAAAAATGGTCAAAAGCGGAGCAATTCGAGGAAACAAGGCAGGCAAGCAAAGAGGGAAAAGAAGAATAAAATGAGAAAAAAAAACGAATGGAACGAACGGAGCAGGGTGTTCTGCCAAACGCTACCGCACCTGTTGTTCTTCCTCTTGTTGCTGTATTACTTTGTATTCCTCCTTCCTGCCCACCTCACCGCTGTTTTTTTTTTCTTCTGTGTTTTCCCTATCCTTTTTCTTCCCCTGCCTTCACTGCTGTTACTGCAAAAGAGCTCCCTACACCTGCACGCAAGCAAACAGGCGAAGAAAAGAACGGGCAGATGATCGCGTCCTCCAAGCAGGTGCAAGGCGCAAGGGAGCACCACACAACGGCACACCCGCGCTCGAAGGGAGTGAAAAAGGCCCGTCAAAACAACAGAGAGCACTGCGACTTACACACTGAAGTGCCACCACCACACACCCACAGAGAGAGAGAAAGAGAGAGAGGCAGACTATACCGCGTTACTGAAGAGAAGATGCTGCCGCTTTCGCTTCAACGGAGCCATGGAGCGCAGTTTGTGTACCACGCGCAGCAGACTTGTCGTGAGGATCCACCTCCGCCGTTCCATTATGCTGGCCGTGTACGTGTTGCGGGAACCCACCTGCAACTCTTCCTGAAGGACGTTAAAATACAACGCCGAGTACAGCCCAAGGCCTTCGGGACTGTACAGGTTCTCAAGCAGTGGGTAGCGCTCCATCAGCTCCGACTGCCGTGAAAGCAGACCCTCCACGTCGTGGGGAAGCTTCAGTCGCTGCGTAAAGGCGTACGATATAAACTTGGCCTGCGCCTCAAATAGCAGAAACGGCGGCAGTAATTCCTTTTGCATCCCCACAAAGGCAATGGAGGGGTTATGGGCGTACAGTGTTCCAAGGTAGAGCCCACGGTGGTGGGGCGTCGGCTTTCCGGGGCTGGCTCCACGCGGTGCACACGGTTGCTCCCCCTCCTCCTCCTTTTGAGGAATTTGTGGCGGCGGCGGCCCCTCCAGCACCTCTCGCACGTCACGGTGCAAAAACGGGTAGCGTGTGTTGTATCCGGTGGCGCAAATCACCGCATCGATATTATCAACAAAAAGGCCACTTGGGCCATCGTCCACAGCATTGATGCTGCTCCGCCTCTCACGCGCCATGGAGCGGGTTTTCGCCTCTTCCACAACGTCGTTTGGCCGTCTAGGTGGATCCGTGAACAATATGCCGCGTCCCTCACTGCGAAGGGGGTGCCCAACGCCAGGCAGCCCACCCCAGCAGGCGGCATTCCTGAAATGGATCCAGTCCGAGACAATGCGGTTGCCTTTTGTGACGTCGTTACGCCAGCCCGGTGAGCGGGAGAGCAGCTGCAAGGCCGCACTCGCCGCGTCCCGCATAGCCCCACCTTGACGCAGCGGTGCAGACGACCTCGTCGCGAAACCCTCCAGTTGCCGCTGCGGCATGTACAGCGATTGGCAGCTGCTGTGGTACGCGTCCGAGCCACAACGTAACAGTTCCCAGCAGTAGTCCAATGCGGTGACGCCGTCGCCCACCACCACAACCCGTTTTCCTTTAAACTGGCGGAAATCCTTCACATGCGAGGCGTGGTGCAGTTCACCGCCCTCGTGCAAGTAGGGCTGCAGCACTTCCTTTATTCCGTCCGGGTACCGCGGCTCCTGCGTTTGGCCGGTGCACACACACACCTTGTCAAAGGACCACTCAAAGACGTCACCATTCACAACGTTGACTGTAATGAGACGCCACACGGCGTCCCGTCCGTCGTAACGGGCGGACTGCACCTTCGTGTTGGGGCGCACAAGTCCCCGGGTGCCCGTCTTCTCTGCATACTGCTCCAAGTAACGGCAGACAGAGGAATGGTGCGGAAACTGCGGCACAGTGTAATCAAAACGCAAGTCGCTAAAACTCATCAAGTCTTTCGGCAGTACACACCGCATCGTCGGGTGCACAGGCGAGACGAGTCCCCGCGAGGAAAACGGGCTGCGTGTGTCGCTGTTCCAAACGCCGCCAGGTTCTGCCGCCAGCTCGAAGCAGGTCACTAGCAAACCACTTCGGCGTAGGGCCGTGCAGGCCGCCATCCCAGCCGCGCCGCACCCAATCACCGCGCAGGACAACATTTTTGCCCCTCAGTTCCTCTTCTTGCTTCACGCGCAACCGGTGACCGCGTGCGTGCGGGTTGTTTTCCCCTGCCTTTGCTCGCCGCGGCTGTCAAGGCCGCATTGACGGAAACAAGGTCAAACAAAAGCGGGAAAGGCGGAGGGGAAAACATAGCCTTGCGATACCCACGAAGGACAAAGAAGAGACGTCGCCCACACCGCCGCCGGGCGGAAGCCCAAGAGCAAGAAAAAAAAAAGGCCTCCGGAAAGGCAAAAGCAAACAACAAAAACAACAACGCAAACACCAGACGCCACAGCGGCCACCTCCACTATGGTGCTTTCGTTGCTTCACCGGCCCCTTCCAGTGGTCTGTTCTTTTTTTTCTTTTTTTCTCTGTATCTCCCTCTACATAAAGCGACTCCAAAAAGGCCTTATTGCCCTCATACATCTCCCGCCGTTCTCCTAGCGACTGAAACCTTGTTCTCAAAGTACGATCCAACGGAGCATGAATTCTTCGACATGGCGGCAGTTGCCTCATTAAATAATTCCGGCGTCACGCCAATGAGGCGCCGCAGCGTTGGCTGCTGCTCCTCCTCCAGTGTGGGCTGCGGCTGGATGTGGCACACGCCCTTGCCAGCCGCCCCAAACTTCTTCACCGCAATGTCCGTCACAAACGGCACAAACGTCGACTTCGCCTCTGTGGCCAACGTCAACGGCATCGTACTACAACTCACGTCAACCTCCGGCGGAGGGGAGGAACGTCGGCGCCGGAAGCGCGGCTCCACACGGGGAAGTTCCGTCGAGTTCACGTAGTTGTGGTCCGGGGCGGCGTAGAGTATCCACACCTCCACCTCGCAGCCACTGGTCAGCGTCACCTCGCCAGTGTACGCGACAAGTTTGGGGGAAAAGGCCAGGAATGCCAGAAGTCCTCTCGTTCCTTCGCTTGACTGCTTTGACACCACCGCGACACCGGCCACATTCGCACACGACGGCATCACGACGAAGCGCGTGACGCCCTCCGGCACCTGGTGCGTTAACGGTGCGAGGAGTTTGCACACGGACGGGGTAAAGTACTGGCGGGGAAGTTGCGGCACCTGGTGCGGCACAAACGTCACCAACACTTGATACGCCACAACAGGCAGAAAGGGCTCCTCAGAGATGACGGACGTAAACGGGTCCTGGCGTATGTCCCTCGCCCCCAACACAACGCTGTAGTACCCAGCCTCAGGCACCATGAGTGTGAAGGTCTCACAGCTGGTCATCTCCTCGCGTTGATGCCACACCCACTGAGGCCCCAGTGGCGTTGCCGTGCCAAGGTCCTCGGGCAACGCCTCGAGTGTGCCCTTGTAGATGAAGCAGGCAAGCTCCGCTCGCTCCGGCTTCTCGTTCACGAGACTCACATAGAATGGCGTGGAGCGCACCGTGAAGAGGCACCGACGCCGGTGCGAGCTCAAGGCCAGTGGAAAACGAAAGAAGGTGTGCGTCAGGCACGGGGCGCCCTCCCAGACAACCTGCCGTGGAGGCGTCAGAAGCAACGTATCTAAACTCACCTTGGGAAAGTGTGTGGCGCAAAATTGTTGCGGATGCGTGTTAAAGTAGAAACTTTCTATACACTTTTTCATCGAGCGAGACGACGCCAAAACTGGGGCATCCAGTGGGCCTCGTGCCGGCTTCTCGCTTGCGAGCGAAGCAGGGCGCTTGGATTTAGCAGGCGGCGCCTCTTTTGGGGCAGGCTCCTTCACTGCATCCACCTCTTCCACAACGTCCTTGCCCCGTGCAACGCGACGTAGTGGACCAGTGTAGGACGAGAGAGCAACGTCCACTAGGTACCGCTTCACGTTGTCCTCCTCCTGCGGGATAGAGACAATATTCCACGCCCACTCAATGGCCTCCTCCGGCGCACGTCCTCGCAGGTGGCCCTCAACAACCTTACTCTCCACCTTGGCATAGTGCAGGCACCTTTGATACAGGCGTGCCAAGACAAGCGGGTCGGCGGTGCGCTCCCGCATGGCCGTCAAAAGCGGGTCGACAACCTCCACAGGGGGCGTTGTGGGCTTTGCATCCGCCGCTGTCTTCCGCTTCACGCCACGCGACGATGCGTTGCTCTTTCGCCCATCTTTCTTTGTTGCGGCGGCGGCGGCGGCGGCAGCAGCAGCAGCAGCAGCCTCCTCCTCGGCCACGGCGGCAGGAAAGTGAACCTCCACAGTGATGTTCTCACACAACCAACAGTACAACGCCCGCGCCTTTTTCATCGCGCACTGCGTAACGGACTGTCGCCAGGTCACCCGCTGGAACGGCTCCACCACCTTCGCCGTCACCTCCTCCGGTTTTGCTGCCGCATCCAGCGGGCCCACTGCGCGCGCCTGAGCGTCGGCCTCCTTCCGCTCCTCCTCAGAAATGCCCCACCCGGCGTCCGCAACGACGTCATCGCCGTGCGCAACGCCCTCGGTAACCAGCGGCGCCCCACCACTACGACTAGGCGAACTTTTTGGGCCGGAGAAGCACGGCAACCCCCGCCCCTTCGTCTCGGCCTCTATGGAGAAGCCAAAGTGGTGAAGGTAGTCGCCGTAGTATCGCAGCTGCAGGTCAAAGACGGACGGACGGAAGGTTTGGTCGAAGGACTCGTAGAGAAATCGTCCAAACTTCTTCACCCGCGTCTCCTCCGTCTCCTCCACGGCGGCGGGCGGGGCTTTGGGTTTCCGGCTCATGCGCCACTGCGGGCCCTCGCGTCGAGGGAAAAGGGGGGGGGGCAGCGGGGCAGAGTTGCACAACGACAGGAGGAAACGAAGGATAACACGAGCGAAGGGCTCGCCTCAAAGCTCCCCCATGAAGACAAAAAAAAAAAGGAAAAAAATAGAAAACGAAAGGGGGGAAAAAACATACCTCTCAAAAGAAAATTTTTTTTAAAACAAAAAAGCGAAGGGAGGGGAAGAAAAAAAAATAGGAGGAGGGTTACACCCATAAAATCATAAACACCTCCGCCACCCTGCCCGGTGCGCCCACGCGAAGCAATCGACTTCCATTTTTGTATTTTCCCCCTCTCTTTTCTCCCTTTTATTTTCATGATTTCCTTTTTATTCCCCCTTCTTTATTGACTCTTCTTGCCGCCTTTGCTTCGGTTCTAAGTTGTGTTTCTATGTCGCCTCCTCGCCCCCTCTCTCTATCTCTCTCGCTCTCCCGTCGCCTCTTGTGCCCTATAGTTTGCCACCGCGGCCGTAGCCTCAGGGGGCGCACGCACGCCTCCCCCAAGCCCCAAAAGCCCCGAGGCCGTCGCAGCTGGCAAGGGGTGCAACAAAAACAACAACCAAATCGACAGTAATGGGCTAGGAGAAGATCCTCACATTAACCTCGTCCTCCCCCCTCCGTCGTCTAGGCTGTCGCATATGCGCGAAACCATGCTGCAGTTCGAGTGGAGAAGAGGCAAGTCGGGCAATTGGAGTCCCTCCTCTTCCTCCCCCTACACCCGCACACAGAGAGAGAGAAAGAGAGTCAACAGAGTCATCCTTGCCGATCAAGATCCGGCCTGCCCCTTTGTTCAGCTTCACCCTTAATGGTTTACCCTCGTGCAAACAACTGAAGAAGAGTCTCTATGTCACTCACTTTTTTTTTTAGGTGTTAGTACTTCATCACGCCCTTCCCGCTCCGCCACCCTCATTCGGTTTCCGGGATCTCCAGGGCGGGCATCACCCCTGCGGGAGGCAGGGAATTCAAGGCTACCGCTGCGGGGCGCGCATTGAAGCACATGTACGCATACATGACCACTTCAAACGCATAGATCTGTGTTGCCTTGCTAATGACGCTTCGCAGCAAGTGGGGAGAGAGGCCCTTGTAAAAGCCGATCAAACCATCGGCGCGATAAATGTGCCGGAGCGTGGGGACGACGCGGGTGTGTTCACATTGGCGTGTCACGTGATTCACGGTGCGCATGTGATTCATGACAACGTTGTACGGGTACGCGACACCCACCGCCGTTAGCTTCGCGACCATCGACAGCGACAGCACTGCCGCCGATGCCGCAAGGAAATTGTTGGCGTCCCTGAACTTCCCATCCTTCGTGAGGCGCCTGAGAAGCTCGTACACTGTCCAGAAGAGGCCCTCCTCCACGAAGCGCCCGAGAACGTTTGTTAAGGTGCCGCGGTAGAAACCGATGAAGCCCTCGCGACGAAGAACGTCTCTGAATACCTCGCGAACGCTCAGTGTATCCTCCACCTGCACACGTGTACGCACCAAAAAGAGTGGGCCGAGCGTGGAGTTCGTGACGCAAACGCCACCAAAGGCGCAGACGGCGGGCCGTATACGCTCATCCACGCCGAACCGCGTCATCTCCTCCTGCAAAAAGCGGTACGTCGGCAAATAGATACCGTTGGAGGGCAGCGACGCCATCATGTTCGCCCAGAGACCGCGCGAGAAGGCGTGTCTGAAGCCCCCGCCAAAAAGTTCCTTTACGGTGTATAAGAGGCTTTTGTGCGACCTGCCAGTGGCGCCTCGACTCGCAGAGAGTCGCACACGAATGGTGTCCAGCGGGTTCGTGACCACCGTCGAGCACACGCCAGCAAAGCTGCCCGCAAAGACAGAAGCGGCGTACTCCCACTCCTTCCCCAGCCTACCAGTTCGGGCGTTGTCGGACATATCGGTTTCTAGTAACAAATATAAAACAAAGTGTTCTACAGCAACGCCCAAAAGTAATTCGGTCTTGTTGCACGTTGCAGAAGGAGGATACGGGGAAAAATAAAACAAAAGCAAGCGTAGAAAGCTTTCCAAACGGAGCCCAAGAAGAAACTGCACAGGCGGCAGCGTTGGTTTGGGCAGGGGCCGTAATGCGCGGCAGCACTCATCACGCATATACACAGGAGCACAGAGAGAAAAAACAAGCCGTGGCTTGTCTGTCTGTGTGTTTGTGTGTGTGTGTGTGTTTGTGTTTCTTCTTCCTTTCGAGGATGTTCTTTTTTTTTCTTTATTTAACCCCTTTCCGCCGTATTGGCTCTTGTTGTTGACTCCTATCCATCGTTAATCGTTTAGCAGACTTTCTCTCGGTTCGTTTTTTTTTTCCCCATCCCGCCGTCTTCACCCCTCTCTTCCTGTTCGATTAGACGAGGGCGCCGTCAATGACGCGCCATGCGCTTCCCGTGGCGGGACTTCTTTTTGCTCTTCACCCCGTCGTGGTGCTTGTAGGCGGGCTTGCCGTTCTTCTCGCGGCTCTCCGCCCGCCTTTCCTTGCGCGCGTCACGGATCTTTTTCTTCTTCATCTTCTTGATTACGCCAGCCTGCAGTTTCTTCTCGGACTTGCGTCGCAGGTCGCGATGGGCGGCCTTCGCCTTTTCCCTGGCGCGCGCCTTCACGTCGCGCTCCTGCCGGCGCGCCAGCTTCTGCTTGCGCAGGAACGCCTTCTCCTCGCGGTCCCAGCCGCTCAGCTCGTTCTGGAAGTTCTGGACTGTCACCTCCGCCTCCTTCTCGTAGAGCCGCCGCGCCTCCTCCTCGCGCCGCTTTCGCTCCGCACGGCTAAGGCACCACGTCTTCTTGGGCTGCGCCGTCGCGCTGTCGGCCAGCATCTCCGCTGCGGACCGGCTATAGCGCCGCTCCGCCTGCGCAATCTTCGCTTCCAACGCCTCGGCCGCCAGCTGCCCCCGCACCTGCGGAAACACGGCGTCTACTTTTGCAGCCGCCTCTGCTAGCAACGCCGCCGGCACATCGCGGCGCTTCACGGAGGACGCCTGATGGCTATTCACGACCCCGCTCACCGCAAGTATCTTGCGCATAATCTCCGCGTCCCTTGCCTCATCCACGAGCGACACCGCCGTCCCGCTTCCCCCGATGCGGGCGGTCCGACCAACGCGGTGAATGTACGCCGTGAGTGTCGGGGGCAGGTCAAAGTTCACGACGGTGGAGACGCCCTTAATATCAAGTCCACGCGACGCCACATCCGTCGAAAAGAGATACTGCACCTCACCCGACGCGAACCGCTCCAGTGAGGCGAAGCGCTCCTCCTGTTGCTGGTTGCCCTGCAGCTCCGCACAGGCGAAGCCCAAGGCGGTAAAAAGAAGATGCAGGCGATGCGCCGTCGTGCGGTAGCGCGTGAAGACGAGCGTCTTGTCCCTGAAATATCCAAGACAGAGGGCCACCAAATACCTTGATTTTATCTTTGTAGTGTGCTCCGAAGCGTCCTCCGCGTCATGCGACGACGCGGCTCCGGCTCTTGATGCGTCCCGGAGGCGCTTCGAACGAATACGCTTCTTCGACCCCGCCGTTTCTTCCTCCTTTCCCTCCATTTCCTCCGTCCCCTCGACCGGACGACCCAGCAACGGATTTGCCGCCGCTGCAGAGGAGGGCAGACGGATGCGTACAAACTGCTGTCGCAGCTTCGACTGGAGCGCAACATGCCCGACGTCCACATTTTTCGGTTCGAAGAGGTGTTCCTTCGCGAACTCGTCCACCTCGCTTGTCATGGTTGCCGAGAACATTAACACTTGTCGGGTCTCCTCCGGGACGCGCTTGAGGATGTCCACCACTTGGTCCTTGAGTGTTACGGTGAGCATCTTGTCGCATTCGTCGAGCACGACCAACTCCACACCGGAGACATCCAGGGAGCCATGTGCGCCCTTGTAGTTGTGGAGCAAATCCACCAATCGCCCAGGGGTTGCGATGAGAATGTCAGGAGTCGACTCCACCGCTGCCTCCTGGGCACTTTGCGCGATGCCCCCAATCGCCAGGGCCACAGTTAACCCTGTCGTAGAGGCCTGTAGTTGCTGAAGCATGTGTTGGCACTGCATGCCCAATTCTCGCGTCGGAAGCAAAATAATGGCTCGAATGAAACGTCGTTTTCCTCCTGAGTGCAACTGCTTCTGTGGGGCACGAGTCAAAAGAATGTGCAGCAGCGGCAGGAGAAACGCCGCCGTTTTGCCCGACCCCGTCACCGCCCGTGCACACACATCACTGCCGCCCAGAACTGCAGGAATGGCCTGTACCTGCACAGGGGTTGGGGAGAGAAAACCTACGTGTGTGACAGCCCGCACAAGTGCTTTACAGAGCCCCAGTTCTATCCACATGATCTCATCCTGTGTCTGCGTGCCGGCCGCGTTATTGCCTTTCCTGCCACCACTACCGCCATTCACAGGGATCGCCTCGCCGGGCATGGTCCCCCGTTTCTCCTCCTTGGGCGTCGTCGCAATCTCGCTAGGGGCCTTCACACCCGTCAAGCCAAAGAAGAAGGCCGAGGCACCTTCCGTCATCACCTCTCCGCTAGTCACCGTGCCCTCGTCCGTGTCCCCACCCGCACGTGTGTACGGCATCTTGAATCTCCTCCCTCCGACGTCGTGTGCGTGGCTTTTTTTGGCGCCGGAAGAACGGTTCCGCTGGGCTGGGCGTAATGCCCGCATTAAACGTGGCCCAGAGAGAAGGAGGGGGGGGAAAAAAAGCTTTTCCTGCGTTTTTTTTTTAGTCCCTTCCGTGCCAGACTCTGGCCGTTGCTGCTGCTCTGACTCGCCTTCGCTGCCGACCAACTCTGTGAGGAGGGAGGGGGCGTATCGTCCGTGGCGCGGGTGATCCTGCCTGGTCAATGTCCGCCCGCAAAGGTGAGGAGAGTGGGAGAGAAGAAAGAGAAGCAGTCGGTGCAGCAAAGAAGCAAAAAAAAAAAAGTGATACTTCACACTGGTCTGTCGCATTTTTCTCGTAATAGTTTCAACCACCGCTTGGGGAGCCTGAACGTGCGTGCGTGCGTGTGTGGGTCCTTACAGTTGACCCCCAGAGAATATGTTAAGGTGAGGGAAGCTAAAATGCACGCGCAACAACAAAACAAAAGCAAAAACTACAACAGAGGGAATCGGCTAGAAAGGTGTGAACTGACACACACACACACACACACATATATATATCCCTTGCATGCACGCATACGCGTCACTTACCGCGTTGTAAGGGGGCTGAAAAGAACACAAACCCAAGGAAGCTGGAAGAGAGAAAATGAAGAAATAATGCCGCACACGCATACACACATACGCACACACACACACACGCTTACAAAGAGGCACAGTAATAGGAAAACATTTATGTGCCAACCTCACGTCCTCTGCCTATTACAATTTTCGGTCGGCGCGCCCACACCTTCCCGCCTCATATCATCTACTTCTTTGTCGGCGCACCCCCTTCTTATTCCGAAAGGATCTACACAAAGCCCCACGCGTCTCCACTTTAACCCGCATCGACGACGTAAGCAAAACAAAGACGTGTTTACACGTGTCTGGGGGCGTACGCACACGTGTAAAGAGGGGAAGTTAAAAGAAAAGAAAAAAAAAGAGTGCGGTATAATAATATTTAAAAAAAATCAAACAAAAACACATGCGATACGCCACAGCAGTTTTACAGAGAAACGCGGACCAGCTCCCACCCCTTTCCTATACTAGTCACCCAATTGGTTCACCGCCATTCTCAAAAGGAAAAACTTTTTGCCGGGGTCTCATTCCTACTTTGCCTATTTTATTTCTCTTGTGCGTGTCTCGCGCGCGCGCGCGCTCTCTCTCACTCTTCATGCGCGACCACTGCCGCGTAACGCCCGCCCACACTTGTCCCAGACGTTCCATATGGCTTTTCCTCCCATGCCTCAATGGTGCCTGACGATATTGTTACCAAAGTCAAATCAGCTCCATTGGGCAAATACAGGCTCAAAAAGCGTAGTTACGTATTACACCAAGAACAATTCTCCATAACATCTTGCCCAGACGCAAAAACAAAAGCTCACAACTCGAGTTCCCCCCCCCCCTTGAAGCAGAAACAAAAGCAATCACCCTCATTTTTGCTTGTTTGTTGGGTTCTGTCATTCGCCAAGACTGTCAAGGAGGAATAATATGCAGCTTCTTCTTCGGCCTTGGCTTTCGCTCTCTCCCTCTTCAGCTTCACTGAAGCACCCCCTGCAACGGAGATCCCACACTCGTATATTCGCCCCTTCATTCGTACTGTGTAGAGAGGGCATACGGGTTGTGTCGGTACATCACAGGGCCCTCTGTGAAGCAACTGGCGGAGAATCTGCTAGGGCAGCGGGCACGACTCACCTCCCTTGCCGGGATGGGCGTGCATGTTGCGACCTCACACTCCCTCAGTCGGGTTACCGGTGCCGCCGCCTCACTCTGCTCAAACCCCACCACTCGCGAGTCCGTCCAACACGGAAGCGAAACAATAACTGGTTGCCGTCGGAAGGAGGTCGTGATGGGGAAGACGGAATTGAGAGCGCTCTCCACGGTGATCGCGCTGGACCGTGTCGGGGCGGGAAGCACGGCGGCGTCGAGCCGCTGCAGACCGGTAGCCCTCAGCAGTTCTACATTGCGCTCCTCCGTGTGAAGCTCATGCTCACCGTGAGCAAAGACGCAACGAGCCCCAAAAGGGCATTTTTCCTGGCGTAGGTAAAACTCGCAGAGAGCTGTTCGGAACTTGGAAGGCTTGACTTCTGCGTGTTTGTTGGTCTTGGGCATTTTCCGTTCTATCGTTTCCTTGCTTGTCTTGTATATTGTTGTTGTTGTTTTTTCGTTTCGTTTCCTTTGCCCTCCCTATCGCGTTCTTGCTCTTCGAAGAAGAATAAAGAAGATCCTTTTTCCTTAGACGCAAGCTTGCGTGACTTTCTTGAGTTATCTTGTACTCCTTCTGCCCTTTAGTGGTCACCTCGCTTCGTAGCCGCTTCGTTGCTCGCCTCTCCCTATACGGCCGCGGTTTTTACTGCTGCAAGTCGCTTTCTGTCGCCCGTCTGCTACTGTTCTTCCTTGGAGCGCAAAGTGTGCCCAGGGGTTTACTGCGCATGCGGTGGAAACAGAAGCCGTTGCACGCAAAAAAAAAAGAGGAGGAAAGAGAACAGGCGAAAGCGTCGACACGGAGAAAATAAGGGCGGAAAGTGGAGTTTAAAATAAACAAAAACGCAGGAATTTGGCACCTAATCCCCAGCCAGAGACGGCACGCACACAAAAAAAAAGGAAAAGGAAAAGGGGAAAACAAACACGCACTACCACCAGGCGTCACAGCTTCCATTCATCACATGGGTATATGTCAGATCAATGCACAGAGAAAGTATCATCGTAAAAAAAAAAGTATCCACCCCTCCTCTGGCGATGCCGGCCACCTTACCGTGGTGCCAGGGTCCAGTACCCCGTCCAGGGGGAAGCCAAGAGCCCGCATTATACTCAGTCGCTGTAGACTGGGGCGGGCGGCAGGCTATCGGCAACCAGAGAGAGCAAGCAGCATCACCGACATTCTGGGGCGAGGGAAAGTGGAAGGGCGCTCTCCCGCACGTGCAAACGTGCTCTCTTCATAGTATTTACCGGCTCCTCTTGCTCATTAGCGGGGATGTCGAGCAGAACCCTGGCCCGTTACTTCGCGGAGCTCAATGGAATGCAGGTGGATTAACTCCGCCGAAGCGTCTCGCATTGGAAAAATTGCTCTACGATAGCAAGGTGGCCTTCTGTCTCCGCACCCAAAAGTGTAAAATTGTCGAAGTAACGTACACACCGTCACAGCCGGGCACCTTCGGCAAAGCACACTATGAGTGTCCTCTCTGTGGCCAGCGAGTAGTGAGTCACTGGTTCAGCCGACACCTGAGAGAGAAACATCCGGGTCACCAAAGCGATGTGATTGCGATTCCTCTCCAGCGTGCCAAACGTGCCAGAGACACTGACGATGATGATGAGGGAAAGAATGCAGTTATGCCGAAGAGGATGGATGCGTCTAGAGGGTTAGATTCTACACACGAGGCATGCTATACAGACGAGGCGTGGCTACGAGGGCACCATAAGCAAGGAAATTCCTCCTTGGTCTGTGCGCGCTGTGGCGTCAAGTACATGCGGCTGGGGTCTCTAGTCCGCCACACTCGACTTCACCATAAGGACAGCAATGTAGCGCAGATACGTCTTGAGGACGGGTCCCTCCTTTTCCATGACATGGGTGACCGGGAGTTTCAATGCCCACATTCCCCCCTGAAGAGCACACAACGAGGTGGACTCAGCAGGCACATAAAGGCAGTCCATGGTTCTTCCGAACAGGAGACGCGCCGTAATGTGCTAAAGTATGCCTGTGAGGAATCGTCGGCCCACTTATTGGAGTGCCCCACTTTGAGAGAGCTACGGATTAGCTGCGGCCTAGAAGAGTTATCTAGAGAGAAACAGCTCAGCAGTGACAAGCTGGCAGTATTCCTCTGCAGACTCTTCCAATTACCGTGCCCGTTGAAGAACTCCGTGCCGATCTCTCGTGGGGTGGACACATCCGCCACCCAGAGTGAGCTGCGGGACGGCCCTACATCACCCCCTCTCCTAGGTTATTGTTTTCTTATTTTCCAACTCTCCCCTC